GCTCCGCTCTCAACGCCATGCACCTTCAGTGGAAAGGTCGAGGCCGCCCCCTACCGCCAGACGTGGCCGCGTTTGTATGATGGTCGGTGACGCTGGACAAGGTGCGTGGATGGCACGGTGGCCGGCCCAGTCGTTGCAGTCATTATGGCATGCGTGCACACAGGCGGTGGGAAGCTGCTGAGTTGCTGAAGGCGATATTAGGTCCCAACTAAGGCGACCCGCGCAATGGGTTGCCGAGGACTCGCGCGACGTCATCAACCGCTGCAGTCGCGGCTGCTGTTTCTTCGCACTGTGTTCCTGCATGCAGCCTCGCTCATTGTTCCTCAGGCAAGGTCGAGCTTGAATTCACGTTTCAGCGCAGCACTCTTTGAAGCAGCGCCCTCAAGCTGTGACACAAGCGAATGGTTATTGCAGTGCAAGAGTAGGGCGTGCGCGAAGCAGATGCCATGCCCTCAAGCTTTGACACAAGCGAACGATTATTGCAGTGCAAGAGTAGGGCGTGCGCGCAGCAGATGCCATGCCCTCAGTGAGTGCGGTGGGCAGAGCGAGATTGCTGCACGACGCCGCAGGCAATCCAAGTAGCGTACCAGCAGTACTTTAGCCAGGCATCGACAATGGCAGCGGCACACCCTCGGGCCTGTCGAACCGCTCAGGATCTAGCTCGGTCCTTAACGACACGGATGTCAAAGGCGCAGTCTGGCCTGCTGCTGCTGGAGATGTTGCTTGTGACAGTAGTGTTGGCCCATGCGCATGGGCCACCGCGACGGCGGATGCACGTCTACAGCCCCCTGTCAGGCGCGGGTTGCTTGTGGCAAAGTAATCAACTCATTTTTGCGAGGCAATGCGTGTGGCCGCTTGGGCAATCCGGCCCGTCTTGGCGCTGCTTCGGGTGTGCAGAGTGCAGTGTCAGCCTCTCACGCGAGTCTGTAGCATATATCATATATTCAGCTGATACCGATCCAGTGTTCCTATCGTTATCATACAATACCTAGATACGCAGTGTCACCGAACCCTCAGGGACGCAAAGCATCGTGCACGGTCGACGTGAGGCTGGGACCTTGTCGTCTCAAGCATATTTTACGGCAGATCCTGTCAATGAGGCTCAGGAGCGTGACCGGGCGGATCACTGCGAGGGCGCGAGGGTGGCCGCCCACCGCGGATCACTCTCGGAGACATGCTCACGGCCACTTCAAGCACACTGCTGCCTGGCGCACGCTTCTAGTGGTGGCATCGCTCTTGGCAGGGGCCTTGGGTGAGCCGCCCATGCCTGCGGTGCACGCTCCGCGTCACCCGCTGCTGGCTTGCTGGTGCGCAGCGGTGTTGATGAGCAGCAGCGGCACAGCACCACACCCAGATGATGGTCCGCGCCTGCGCCGCTGCGTGGACCCCTCACGTGCCTCGCGCACCCCTCTTTGTTGTCTGCAAAATGCAACCGTGCTGCTTGTGCTCTGCTCCTGAGGTGGTGTCGCGCCATGCTTCAGCGGAAGGACATTCAACCCATGCCTTCACCCCAACCTACCCACGGAAACGCTTGATGCCTGCGACCTCCAGGCCAGGGCCTCCTGCCAGATGAGTCATTGCTGGGGGCAGACAACAACCCCGCGCGCAACCTGGATGCCGCTTACTCCTCCGCCGGCCGGCAGTGGAGCGCGGCCGTCACCTGGCAGAGGGCCCTCAAGGCGTCCCCAAAGGCGGCGTGCGTGGGCACATCAAAGGACTCCCTGTGCTCCTCTAGTGTCGGCGCAGGTGTGGCGCTGCGCCTCTTGCGTTTGAAGCAGCCGGCCGGCGGCGTGATCGCTGGCAGTGTGGAGCTGGCACTAGAGCGCAATGCATGTTTGGCGCGATCTGAGACTGCGTGCATAATTGCCGCACATGACGGCCTGGCAGCCACCTGTGGGCGGACCAGCTCCATGGTCTGCATTCTCAGCCAACCGCCCGCTCCCTGCGATCCTGGCCTCCGACCTACGGTGCCCCGCAGACTCTGAGAAGCTGGCAACCCTGATGTTTGCGACGTCACCCGCCGCCTACAGCTCCCTGGAGCCGCGTGACGTCCCCTACCGCATCATATCACCCCCACGGTCCCAGGGCGAATGCCAGACCTGTACAGCATTCGTCGCCGTGGCGGGCGCAGAGGTTCGCGCGCGCATCAATGCCCATCCAATGTGTGGCACATGAAGCTGCACTGCCACAGGCTGTTGCAGCGCATGCTCGTCATTGTTGCCTCTGCACCGCACCCTTCAATAAGCCTCACTTGTCTGCAAGACTGTAATTGACTGTAACGTGGCATACCCAGTTGCCCTCCATTCACACAGCCCCCGCCTCCCCCCCCCCCTGCCCGTGCACTCTGGCGACCACAATTTCTCTGTCAGGCTGCAGCTGCGAGCGCCCTGGGCCAGGACGTTGCGAACATTGGGCAGCTGTCCCCACAGGACCTCTACTATTGTGGTGACGAGCGGACCTCATGCGACACGGGTGCTTCGCTGAAGGCCACCCTGGGGCAGCTTGAGAAGCGGCCGAATCTGAAGCTGGAGAAGTGCATGCCGTACCAGCAGCCCGACCTGCAGGGCGACGTGACGCGGAACAGCCTCTGCACCACAAAATGCACCGACACCAGCCCCCTTATATCCAAGGGCAGATTCGACTTCGTGCCCATCGCGCAGCTGTGGAAGGCGCAGCAGCACATTCGAAGGCACGGCGCTGTGGTGAGTAGGCGCTTGTGTGTCGCGGGAGCACAAAAGGGGTAGCGCCACTTGCTTTGCTGGAGGTCGAAACCCTTTGAGCCCCCACCGCTGGTTACGCCGCTTGCCAAGGCATGGATGTGTCTTTGCCAGCGATGCCGTCGACGCGATGGGGAGCAGGCTCAATTGTTTGGCGGGCGTCTACGCCTGCTGGCCCTGATATTAAGGGGTTGGCGGAAGGACGGTGGGGTGTGTGGTGCACCACACATACCCCTCGCAATAACCCGACGTTGCGCCGCTTGCATCGTGGCTTTCAGCCGCGCGAGGGGTCAGCGTAGTCTCTCTCTTTATCTGGGTGGACGGACTTGGAAG